GCTCTGGCAATGTTCTAATCGTAATTTATTCAAGTTTAGTTGAGCTTACTACAGCTAAATAGTCTTATAAGCTTCACTCGATTGAACTGTGTGCAGACATTCGTGGTCTAGTCTTTAGACTTGAAATAGGAAATTGTCAGATTCAGGTTGATCAAGTGCCTTCCTAGGAATATCGTCCTGCTTTCTTATCTCATTTTTAACAGCTAGGTATAATTCTTATTATTTTTGATTTTTAAATAGGTTTTTGAGACTACTAGATCTTATATATGGAACGCATTCATATTCCGTTTAAGGTGATTATCCTTGAATTTTCTCATTATGGTAGCACTACGTATCACGCCTCGAATGAATTTCAAATAGCCTTGATTACCAAAAGGTATTCTTATCCAAGATGGGCTGCTGTTTTGATCTTGCATAGTTCTCAACAGCACTCATATCGGTGTCTTGAAAGCCTACTTTAAACGCTTAATGGGTACCTGGTCTCATGAAGTCGAAAAATTAGGCAATTTCCAGATCTTGAACTACGTGGATGAAAAAAATAAATTTACAATGGATGTGAAATAGCACAAACTTATTGGATGCGGAGATCATTCGCTTAGCGAAGACTCCATAAATGGCTATTCCGAAAGAAATCACATGCAGGAATAATCTACCAATCTAACCATACTTATAGAATGAAGATGGGAATACTTGCTTCATTTTGCTCTTTATGTGCACCTATATTGACTTTTTTATTATTTCCACCTGTCTATAGTGGTGTGTATGTTTTTGTTTTATGCCAATGTTTGTAGATAGGAAACAGCCTATTCGATGAACCTGGCGCCCAAACAGTTAAAGACATAATGGCCAAGGCCGAGGCTAAGGGTGTCAAGATTCATCTCCCAACTGATTTTATCACTGGTGACAAGTTTTCCGAGGACGCCAAAGTCAGTCAAGCTGACGTCTCTAGTGGAATTGCTGACGGGCAAATGGTAGGTGCGAATCTATTTTAATGGAAATCTGTTCTCCAAAACTTATCCTGCATAGTTTGGTAAATCCATTTTCAAATTGACCAATTATGCTCCAATTTTGACTGCTTTTTAACAGGGTCTGGATATCGGAGCTAACTCGCGTAAATGCTTTGTCGAAGCCATAACTCGTAGCAAGACCATTGTTTGGAATGGACCGATGGGTGTCTTTGAATGGAAATCCTTTGCTGATGGTACAAAGGCCGTGATGGATGCAGTCGTCAGTGTCACTCAATCAGGCGCAACCACTATTATCGGTTTGTGCAAGAATAATTCTTTTTTTTTACCAACTGTGCACTAAATGCATATAGCTAATTTTTTTTGTTTGTATGGCAAATATTGGTAATTTATTTATTATGCTGTATTTAGGCTTTGATTATTAGTTCTTATCTGCTTGTCTGCATAATTTCTGCCTTTGTCAGTTTTATTTCAGATTTTAAGTTTGGACGATGATAGAGAACCATATATAGTCCTAAGGATTTACTGAAATTGGCTCGATAACCGTGGTTCAGCTGTCTTAGTTTTGTGGCTAGGCGGGATACATTGAGACTACCTCGAGCAGTCAATTTTGGTTTTGCAGCTGAGACAGGCCAAGATTACGATTGTAAAATGTTGTTTGGGCGATGAATATAACATAAAACATATGGCGAGCTACATTAAATATTGTATTACCTAGCGTAAGATGGTAAAGGTGTATATTGAACAAAGCCATCTACTTAAATTACACCTCACGACTGTTGAATATCAGCTCGAACTTACGATTAGCTCGAGTCATAGAGGTAAGTAGAGGCAAATTCTCTTTCTAATTATTAATTGCTGGAATTGGTGCTGGTGGTACGGGCTTGTTGAGTGCACTCTTTCGACAGCCAATCTGGAATGCAAACGATGATAAGTGGGTTAGCTAGCATATGATATCATCAGCTCACAATATTTAGTGTCACAAAAAGCGGTAAGTCAATACCTATTGAAGCTAAATAGCGTGATATTGGTAGACTTACTAAATCTTTTTCGTATGTAAGTAGAGTTTCGAGGCTACCATTAAATCAGTAACATGAGATGTATTCACCCTATTTCGTTTAAGGTGATAAGAACTGGTAGTAGAATTTTCCCATAATGATACGAGTAGAGCTGACGTTTCCATTGAATTTTACATAGCTTTTCTTTCCCAAAAGTTGTTCTCATCCAGGGTGGACTGCAGTTTCGACCTGGCATAGGTCTTATCAACACCCCTAGCGGGAGTCGAACCTTGACAGTTCAGAATGTGAGCTTGGCATTAACTACTCGGCCACATATCCACGAATGCCCTTGGGTCACAGGGCAGATATGAATTTCGAGGAAGTCCAGGCATTTACCCATATCACATTCTTTGGTGCTATTGTCCTTCAACACCTTGAACGAAATAGGGTGAATACATGCCCTATTACTGATTTACTGGTAGTCTCGAAACTCTTCTTACGTATGAAAAATAAGTAACGTAGTCGATTGTTATAGCAAAAATACGCTTGCCTTATCGACAATCCTACTCAATAATGTGATATGGGGAAAGGCCTGGCCTTCCTCGAAATTCGCATCTGTCCTGTGACCCAAGATCACTCATGGCAATGTGGCCGAGTGGTTAACGTGTCAAGCTCACATTTTGCACCTTTACAGTTCGACTCCCGCTGGGGGTGTTGATAAGACCTATGTGAGGTCGAAACTGCAGTCCATCCTGGATGAGTACAACTTTTGGGAAAGAAAAGCTATGTGAAATTCAATGAAAACATCAGCTCTATTCATATCATTGTAGAAAATTCTACTACCAGTCCTTCATCACCTTAAACGAAATAGGGTTAATACATCTCATATTACTAAATATTGTCAATTCTAATTCAGTTCTTAGAAAAGCCAACCAACAAGCCCCCTTATTATATACTTTTAAATAATGAAAATGCCCCTCAATTGACATGAGGGATTCTGCAAAAACCAACTTTTTAACTTTCTCTGCATTTTATTTAGGAGGAGGTGATACTGCCACCTGTTGTGCACAGTGGAAAACGGAGGACAAAGTCAGCCATGTAAGCACAGGAGGCGGGGCTAGCCTTGAACTGCTTGAGGGTGAGTTGCATCTTAATGATTCTTCTAATTATTTATTCGCGCCGAATTCGATTTTTTGAAATTATGGTCGAATTCACAGGTGCCCTATAAATCCTTGTCTATGCGCATTGTTGATATCTAAATTTATACTTAATATTCCTTTTTTGATAGGATGATGGCTAATCTTTATCCTCTCCTATTACTAAGGTGATATCTTCTGGGGGCAATTAAACACATTTTTTCCTTTCGAATTATATAAAATCGGTATTTCGTATGTCTGCAGATAAGAGTAATATTAGGGGAGCCATCGAAATCAATCGATTATGCAATACATATAATATATGGAATACTGGCTATAAGTTGAGTAAGCATTATTTATACTTGATTCATAAACTCAAAGATAGGTATGATATTGAGTCAGCTGCAAAAAGGATGCAATTCAACTACTATTTCTTGTTTTTCTTCTACTTTCGGCCACTTCTGTATATTTTAGTCCACTCTTTCTCTCACATGAAAACTAAAAGTCCACTAGTTTAACCAGACGTATGTCGACTTTGTGGAGTAGGAGTAGTGGTTTTAAAAAAATATGTATATATAAAGTGGTTGATATTGGTCATCAAACCTTGATAGTCGTTACTTTTCTGTTCTAATTACTTTAAGCCATCACTGCTGGCTTCGTGTATATATGAATACGTGAAGTACGAGAACACATGCCGACACAGGCATACTCACGTGCTTCGAAGTTGTTATATGACTTGAACTAATCAAATCATTAGCGTACGATCGCCTAATGTTGAATCATGTTTGAGCTTGTGTTTTAATACATATTTCACCTTCAATTGTAAGTTGTATGATAAGACAAGGGGTTTGATTAGCCTCTATTTTAGCTAATAACTACATGGTCTAATTAGAAGCTCGGATGTTTCAAGAGACACTCCTAGTTCCATAGTTATTAGTTCGCTATATGGACGATTAGTTTGCTGTTTGGCACCACGGAACAGATAGATTGGGGGAATTCCTTGAGCTAACAAATAAAACAAATGTAAATACTAAGTTTATCATGGAGTAAGAAAAGGAAAGTAAATTGCTTTTTTGGATGTATTAGTGAGCAAAGAAGGTAATAAGTTAAGTAGAGACCTGGCGACCCATTCACTAGAGATTATGTGAACACAAAATCGCTTGTAAAGGTCTGTGGGTCCAAATATCTGAGCTCGCTGAACACATGCTCAATACAGGACACTCAATATACTGGTCCAAAACACAACCTTTTGCGTGTTACGGGGACTTTACGTTAACGCGTAAGATTAACAAAACAGTCAACGTCCTGAATAGGAGGAACGTGTGTATAAAACTAAGTATGAACTTTTTGTGATGGTTGGATAGACTTAAAGAATGGAAGAGAGAAGGGGTGTAGGAAGAGCCTCTTAGCAAGAGAATAAGGCTAGGCTAGTCTCGAGTCTATCTACGACATAAGCATTACATACGCACAATAGACACTAGCACAAGCCCAAACATGATTCAACATTAGGCGATCGTACGCTAGTTTCTTGTCTAATCAAACAGCTACCACCGAACGCACTTCCGGTTCGGGAAGTTAACTTCACTCATTTGCAAGCTTGTAGAGTAAGGTTGAAGTAGCCAACGAAATTAGGGGAGGTCTCATTAAGATCACGATGTTAGGTGTATAAAAAAGTGGCTCTAGGTGCAGACGGCCACCTGTTGACTTGGCTTAGTATATTTATGCTCTATGTCGTAAAGTATGAAATCTTGCTCTGATTATGTCTGTTACAGTACAGGCGAAAGCTTAGCACAGTTTCATCGCAGTCGCAGGACGATGAGCCGAGGTCTTCTTCGCACAATTCAGCGTTCTTCCTTACGCGACAATCCTCCTTCGATTTCCGGTGGGATTACATCACGCATTACTTCGAACTAATTTTCCATTCTAAATGGAGAGTAATGCCACAATCTCTGGTGGAATAGACCTTCGGATCTCTTCACCAAGCACTTTCACAGGAGATGAAATTACGCTTCTAGGCCAAGGCTCCTAAATCGAAATTTTGCCACTCGGCTATAGTGCCACTCATTTACTGTATATTGCGCCACTATGACCATTAGCGCTACAATTTTGAAATTTTAATGGATTAAAATACCATTTCTTATATCGTTATTTCGAACGCTTTATCGTTATTTTTAACAAAACTTTTAGGCCATCTGAAAAAAGCCCTAAGCTTAGGACTCTCAACTAAATTTAATTACTTATTCCAGCATCTAAAGCCCAATTGTTCCATGGTGGTTTGGCTATTTTGTGAATTGGTTTTAACAATATAGTCGAGATAAAGGCGTGATAACTGAGAAGAGTCGAATAAAGTTTAGATATTGGCAAATTGATCGCTTGGTATAATGTGTTAGGTTCAGCATGGAACACATTTTATGATGTGTAGGTCTTCATTCACTAAATTAAATCGAATTAACCTAAAATTCGTTGGAGATAATATCCATTCTGTAGCTTGACAGAGTTAGTCAAAAGTAAAACCTTTAATAAATCTCTCAGGATTCCAATAATTAATTCCTTACTGGCCTTACGAGATTTCTTCCAAAACGAAACTTTTATTCTACGCACTCAAAGTTTCTATATTTTCTCTATTTGCTGGCCAGATTATGATATTATTTTGTCTGTTTCTGGTTATATCAAAATTCTAATAATTGAAAGGGCGTCTAAGCC